GGTTTTATATCTGGGTTCTCAGTTCTGTTCCACTGGTCAATGGCTCTATTTTTGTGCCAGTACCAAGGTGTTTTGATTACTACAGCCTTATAATAAAGTTTGAAGTCTGGTAAGTTGATACCTCCCATTTTGTTTTTATTGCCCAGTATTGTTTTTGCTATGCGGCAACCCACAAATTTTGATGTGTTTTTACTTTAAGCTTAAAATATTTTCCTAAAGCCCCTATTTTCTAGGTCTAACATCTGGGTTGTTGCCAAATCTGGCTGTTAATTGCTTTGTCTCTAGACACCTTTGTTTTATTTTGTTCATTTGATTTTTGTTATGTCTCACAGGTTTTAGCTAACTGTAAAATAGTAGAAACTGAAGTAAGTAGGTTTAAAGCCTATAAATGGGTATACCTTCTTTTGTCTGGCTGTTAGTGTGGGAAGTTAAATCAGTCTAGTCAGAAGTTATGTTGGGATTGAGTTTTAATTTCTCTAGTTAGCATTGCACCACAGGCCTCAAATTCCTCTAATGATGTCTTGTGTTCAGGGCAGAGGTGAGTGTCAAAGTGTGTTTTTCTCAATGTTGGTGCCCTTCTCTGCAGGCCTCTCCTCACTCTTGCCGGTTGTCAGTGGTAAACTGGTGTTGTGTGTTACTCAGTGCTTTCAAGATTGGTAGAGGGGATGGAACAGAAAAAGTTCTTTGTTGTGGTATAGCCTTGGTCTTAGGTAGATTATGTGTGCCTGGACCTCAGGATGGGACTTTCTCAGAGTTCCTTCCCCTTATCTCTGTGGCAGCCAAACTCTGCTTTGGCTCTTTTATGTGTCTTGCATGGAAATTACTGCTCCCTCTCCTAGCACTGGGGGGCCTCTGATCCTGTTTATAGAAGATTCTGGGCCCAGAACTGTTCTTGCCTCCCTTCCTCCCAGATATGGAAGGGTTTTTTTCCCCCAGCAACAAAGCATGAGTTTGCTTCCCCTTCCTCAGTGACTTAAGGCTCTTGCTCTGTGTGAGGAAAGGATCTGGGTAGGGTGATGGGCCTTTATTCCTGTATCACAGTGGCCACCAATTCCTTGTACCAATGAGAGGGGCTCTTGATATTCTGCCTTGTATCTGGTTGCCCTCATGGGCACCCAGCTAAGGTATGTGGAAGAGTCGGTGAGTGAGTGCAAACTGCTGGGGCTTCCAGAGGTTCTATACTGTCAAGCTATCCTACACTCAGCTTTAAGTAATTTCTTAAAATTTTAGCTGATTACTTCTTGTATGACAGTGGTATCTTGCTTGGACACAGAGGAGCCATTTCTGGCATCCTGTTTCATTTTGGAAGTATCTGCTCATCTTTGGAATTCAAGCTACTTGGTTATCTTGTACTTTAGCCCTCTCATTGGTTCCAGAAAGTTTTTTGGGTAATTTAGAAGTATTTTATTTAATTGGCAATATTCTGGGATTTTCCAAATATCTTTCTGTTACAGACTTTTTAATTCCATTGGGAGCAGAGAACATATTTTGTATATTTTGTATTCTTTTAAATGTTTTTGATTACATTAAGACTTGTATGGTCCGGGATATGGTCTATCTTAGTGAATGTTTTATGTACAATTATTGGGTGAAGTGTTCCATAACAGTGAGTTCAAGTCCGTTGAAATTGTACAAATCATTGATGGTTGCTGATTTTGTCTTCGTGTGTGTTAACTAGAGGGGGATGTTAAAATCTCCATCTATGATGGTGGTTCTGTCACTTTCTCCTTCATGTATTTTGAGTCTCTGCTATTTGGGATTGTTGTGACTTCTTGGTGAATTAATCATTTTATCAGTGTGAAATGTGCCTTTTTTCCTTTGGAAATGCTTTTTTATAACTTTTACTTTTAGAGTAGCCTCCCAGCTGCTGCTCTTTGTTGTTTTGTTGGTTTTTTTCCCCCCTTCCAAGTATCATCTTTTGCACTCTTGATTTGAGTTAGCCAAAGATGGAAGGGGAATTTGCACACAGATTTTGGGGCATTACCCTCTGGATTCTTTTCTGAGATTTTCATTCTCACTGTTCGGCAACCCCAGTCTCTAACCTCTGGCTCCTTTGTCTGGTAAGACTGCTGCTTTCTGCTTAAGCTCTGTCCCCACCCCTCATGTTGGTTTGGGGAAAAAATGTGGATCTCACATGTTTTTTCCACCTTAAAAAAATCATGTCCATTCCTGTTTCTGCCTACTTTTGGTTGATCTCCAGTGTTTTTAAGTATAGTAGCTGCTTTTTTATATTTTGTCTAGAGTTTATAATTGTTATTGTCAAGAGGATTAGTCTGATACAAAGTGTTCTGCCATATCCAGCACCAGAATTCCTCTAGTCTCTTTTAATTTAGAACATCTCCACCCTTTTTATCCCCATCACCTTGACTTTTTGAAGAATCCTGGCCAGTCTTATAAAAATCCCACAATCACGATTTGTCTGATTTTTTCCTCGTGGTGATGTTTAACTTGTTCCTGTATCCCTTGTATTTCCTACAGACTAGAATTTAGATCAAGGGACTTGATTATGTTCGGGTTAAACCTTTTTTGTTTCATAGATGGTACATATATTTTACCAGGAACATAATAATTCATTGTTCTGGTATTGGTAATGATTAGTTTGATCTCTCAGTTAAGGTGATACTCTCCACTATAAAAATTTGTTTTTCCCTTTGTAATTAGTAAGTAATCTCTGGGGTGGTAATTTGTACCCTCTTCATTTTTCACATCATACCCAGATGTCAACTCTTAAAGTTTTTCCTAGTGAGATCCCAGCACAGATCCCACACTTAACAAGTATTAGCTATTATTACTGTTGTTTAGGTCCCATTTCCCAACCATAAGTCCTTATAGTTTCTAGTTATATATACCATATACACTTTAATGGTACATATCTCATACTGTTGTGATTATAAAGACATTTATATCTTTCTCTTCTAGATTTTGGGGTACTGAATGCAGATCTCACATCTTACAAATCTTTGTGTCTCTCATAGCACTTAACCAGCATTTGATATATAGTAGGCACTCAGTAATTATTTTTTATAGCAAGAAAAAAATTAAGTGTCCAAAGCCTTTTGCTATTTAAACATTTTTAATCTCTGTCTTAGTTACTGGTTAAATTTAATGTTAATTACACTTTTTTGTAGGTAAATGAGAAAACGGGACAGATTATACAGTATGATAAATTTTATATACATGAAGTACAAGAATTGATAGACATAAGGAATGATTATATCAACTGGGTCCAACAGCAAGCCTATGGAATGGTATGTTTTCTGTGCATTTTGTGATTTCATTTCTATATATCACTTGTTCTAATACAAAAAAAACCAATAACTTGTTTCTGAAATACCTCAAAGTTTTTTCAGAGCTTTTATTTAAAGCTGTTTTTTTAGAAAATAAAAACACATTGTAAAGGAGTAGCTATATATTATACAATATTTATAAGCAAACATTCCACTCTTTTACCAAATCTAAACTGAAAAGCTATATTACAGTTTTCTAAAGAAAAATACAAATGTGACATGGATTTATAACTTTCAATTATTTTCCATGAGATTGCCTCTTATTTCTCTGATGTTAAGAATACTAGAGTCCCTGATATTGAAACTCTTACAAATGTTTTGTTCTTGTAAGATTAGTGCTTTGAAACTACCAGAAGAGAATCTTAGAGTCATTGATTCTGTTTTTGAATTTTCCCTGTTAAGTGTTTAATTTTATTTCAAATTTTTGATACACATCAAGATGTATACTAAGTCTTTAATAATTAGACACTTAATGTCTGTTAAAATAGTAGAATAGCCTTATAAAATTTGAATTAGGCACATAAAGTTTTAATGTAGGAATGGGTGAGCAGTGAGATATAAAATAGTCAGGTTTAATACTGTTATTTACTAGCCATTTTAGTATACTCGAGACCAACTTTTCTGTCCCCAAAGGAGGTAATTTAATGTGTGTGCAGTAGTGTGCAGTAGTTGTAGAAGGGTGATTAACCTTTCATTGCTTACTAGGCTTCTTGTGGATAGGCACTCTGTCAGCTAGCACCTCTGATAGTATCTGGAATATGTTTAGTATGCACTAAAAAGGTACAGTAGTTTTTGAATGGCAGCCTGGTTAGTTCATGCTATTTTTAGGATACTTTTACTTCCAGGAATCAACTTACTTCTAGATGTGTTTTCCTTCCATAGGTACTTAGGTCAGGACTGGGAGAGACTCATTGACTGTTCTCTAGAACTACTGGAAGGCTGAATCAGATTTATAGCCATTCTGTAGGTTTAGGTCTATTCATTTGCTCATTCAACAAATATTTAGTAAGAATTTCCTATGTAGCAGGTGCCGATTTAGGTATTGAAAATACAGTGGTGAGCCAGACACATTTGGGCCCTGTGTCTCATGAAATTTATAATTTAGTGGACAAAATTGATGATAAACAAAGCAAAAAAATACCAGCTAATAATATGTACTATATAGAGAATTAAAATGAGAGGATGAAGTGAAGACTGGTTTCTCGAGATTGAGTAATCTGAAAAGACTTGTCTGATCAGGACTGAGTGGTAATCTAAATGACAAGGGGCAGCCCTGTAAAAACAGTACAGAGAGAATTTAAAGAAAAATGAGCATTTAGTAAAAGACTTAGGTGAGAACAAGCTTGACATGTTCGAAGTATAGAAAGCTAAAATATGGGAGTGGGAAAGGATCAGAGAAATGGGCAAGGAACACATCATGGAGAGTTTAGTAAATTAGCATTAGGAATGATTTAATCTGAAGTGTTACGGTAAGCCATTAGTGAATGGTAAGCAGGGAGGAACTTAGTCTGATTTATATTTTGAATAATTGCTTTGTTAGCTAGGTAGGGAATGGGAAAAAATGAAAGAGGGAGACCAGTGAGACTGTTAATTTTAGTAGATTAGGGAAGAGAAAATGATGGGTTTGATTAGAATAGTAGTTGTACAGATGAAATAAGGAAATGGACTTTGAATACCTCTTGGAGATAAAAGGGACAAGAATCACTAATGGATTAGATATGAAATGAGGAAAGGAGAGAAATCCACAAAGGAGATTAAGAAGGAAAGGCTGGTGAGGAAGGAGGAAAAGCAGGGAAATGTCATGGAAACCAGAATTTAAAAGTGAAAAAATGTGTTGAATGCTGCTGAGGAGGAGGGTAAAACCATAGAGTTGATGGTAAATTTAGTTACATGCAGGTCAGTTGGTTACCTTGATAATGCCATTCTAGAGTTGGAGGTATTGCTAAAGAGAAATTTGGAGGTGAGGAAGCAAGAACATTAACCATAGGCAATACTTTCAAGAAGTTCTGCATTAAAAAGGAGCAGAAAAATGGAGTGGTAGCTGGAATCAAGGGATAGGTTTTTAGGAAAGAAAATAATTGACCTCAGGAAAGTTTTGAATATTTCCTCTTTCCTTCCCTATTTGAACTAAATCTCTGACCTAGGTGAAGCTTCTCAAATTCTTCTTCCAGAGCATCAGTAAAGGCAGGAGAAATAACCTATTTCTTGAGGTTTTAATCTTCCCTTGGCAAGACTTGTTCTGGAAGCTCATTTTCTCTCTTTGAACATAGTTAATTTTATATTCTGGACGTAATAGATACTGCAATGTAAAAGGCATTTAATTTATTTACCATTGAGAAAAACTGATGCTTCAGGAAATGAACCTTGTTTATCCCAAGACTGCATATGAACCCCCTGACATGCCACCTAGGGTACCCTGGGTCTATGAGCAGTGTTTTTGAAACAGGAATGATATATGGACTCCTTTTAAAGAAAAACAATTTCTTACAAAGCCCAGTGTTCACTTACATATTGTTATAATTATCTTATATAAATATATATACACATTAAACTAGTTCTAAACTTCTGATGCTTAGCTCTTAAAAGATCTCTAAAACCTTAACAAATTTTTAATTATAAATAAAAATACAAATTTAAAAATCAAGTTAATGTTAATTTAGTATGGAGGATGATTATGTTCTGATGATTAGGAATCCTGGCTCACACCATAAATATGGTAAGGAAGCAGAGTAACATAAGAGTGCCTGGCTTCAAAACAAGTCTCAGCAAATGCAGAAAAATCAAAATCATACCACGTATCTTCTAAGACCACAGTGGAACAAAACTAGAAATTAGTTCCAAGAGAAACTCTCAAAACTACACAAATACCTAGAAATTAAACAACCTGCTGCTGAACAATCCTTAGGTGAATGACAAAATCAAGATGGAAATAAAAAGATTTTTTTGAATTGCATGATAGAGACTACACAAGCTTCCAAAATCTCTGGGATACAACAGAAGCAGTTCTAGGAGGGAATATTATAGCCTTAAATGCCTATGTCAGAAAGACAGAAAGATCATGAATTAATAATCTAATGTCACACTTGAAGGAACTAACTAATAACAGAAGAACAAACCAAACCTCAAGGTAGCAGAAGAAAAGAAATAACAGAGATCAAAGTAGAAATAAACAAAATGGAAACAAAAGACAGAATATGAAGGATCAACAAAACAAAAAGTTGGTTCTTTGAAAAGATAAACAAAATCAATAGGGCACTAGCTAGATTAACCAGAAAGAGAAGAGAAAGGACTCAAATAAGATCAATCAGAATTGAAAAAGGGGACATTACAACTGATACCACAGAAATACAAAATATTGGCTGATGCTATCTTGGCCTCAGCCCATCTATATGCAGACGTTAAAATAAACTTCTTACATAAAAATTTAAAAAAAATACAAAATATTATCCATGACTACTAGGAAAGTCTCTGTGCACACAAACTAGAAAATTTAGAGAAAATGGATAAATTTTTGGAAACACACAACCTCCCAAGCTTGAATCAGAAAGAAATGGAAATCCTGAACAGACCAATAACAAGTAGCAAGATTGAAACAGTATTTTAAAATGTCCCAAGGAAAAAAAGTCCCGCTCCGGGCGGATTCACAGTCAAATTCTGCCAGACCTACAAAGAAAAATGGCACCTATCCTACTGAAACGGTTCCATAAAGTCAAGAAGGGGGGAATCGTCCCTAAATAATTCTATGAAGCCAGTATCACCCTGATACCAAAGCCAGGAAAATACACAACAACAACAACAAAAAACTACAGACCAATAGCCCTCATCAACTTAGATGCAAAAATCCTCAACAAAATACTACCAAACTGAATCAAATAGTGCATGAAAAAATTAATTCACCATGATTGAGTGGATTTCATCCCAGGGGATGCAAGGGTGGTTCAACATATGCTAATCAATAAATGTGACTCACCACATAAACAGAATTAAAAACAAAAATCATATGATCATTTCAGTAGATGCAAGAAAAACATTTGATAAAAGCCAGCACCCATTCATGATAAAAACTCAACAAACTCGTTATAGAAGGAACATACCTCAAAATAATAAAAACCATATATGACAAACCCACAGCCAGCATCATACTGAATGGGGAAAAGTTGAAAGCATTCCCCCTGAGTAACCAGAACAAAACAAGCATGCACATTGTCAACTACTTCTGTTCAACATAGTACTGGAAGTTCTAGTCAGAGCAGTCAGGTAAGAGAAAGAAGTAAAAGGCATCTAAATCAAGAAAAAGGAGAGGAAACTATCCTTTTTGCTGATGGTCTTATGTCTAGAAACCCTAAAGCCTCCAAGAATTGATCAATAAGTTCAGTAGAGTCTCAGGTTATAAAATTAATGTACACAAATCAGTAGCATTTCTGGATACCTATAACAGGCAAGCTGAGAGTCAAATGAAGAGCTCAGTGCCATTCACAGTAGCTTCAAAGAAAATAAAATACCTAGGAATATATTTAATCAAGGAGGGGAAAGATCTCTACAAGGGGAACTACAAAACACTGATGAAAGAAATCATAGTGACACAAAGAAATCATAGATGACACAAACAAAATGAAAAACATTCTGTGCTCATGGATTGGGAGAATTGACATTGTTAAAATGTCCATACTGCCCCAAGTAATTTACAGGTTCAACACAATTCCTATCAAAATATCAATGTCATTTTTCACAGATCTAGAAAAAACAATCCTAAACTTCATATGAAAACAAAAAAGAGCCAAAATAGCCAAAGAAATCTTAAGCAACAAGAAAAAATCTGTAGGCATCACATTATCTGACTTCAAATTATACTACAAGGTTATAGTAATCAAAACAGCATGGTGCTGGTATAAAGGTAGCCACATCAATGAAACAAGAATAGAGAACCCAGAAATAAAGCCATGTAGCTACAACCAACTGAT